TATATATATATATATATATATATATATATATATATATAACATCAAACACCCAAACCAACATTCAAAACAAAGAGTCATAAGTAAATTACAAGCTTCCCTTACCTCTTAAACTTGGCCGAACGCTCACCACCAGAAATCTTAGAATCCTATGGATCACGATTTATGAAACTAAGCCAAACAAAAGACCAGAAATGTGCTCATAATGAGATGATAAACTCATGCAACCAGAACTCGGCTTGCATGTGTCAGAAAACTAACGTTCTAAGAAGATAAGTAACTCACCAGCTTAAAATCACAACTTGATCGGTGCAAAGTGAAGCCCTTAACACCAGAAAGACTCAAGCACTGCCTGAATGATGATCGGATGAAAGAAAAAGTAAGAATTTGTAGAGAGAAGAAGATTGTAGAGAGAATGAGGAGAAAATGAAGAACTCAGAAGGTTGAAGATGAAGGGATGCATGTAGAAAAGTGGCACGAAGTTTGAAATTTCGCTTTAAATACTACCGTCACTAACCGATCGGCCACTCAACGCTGCACATCTGTCTTCCACTTTCTGAATTCCAGAAACTCTAGTACCTACATCTGTCTTCCACTAACAGGGATTTTAAGCGTCATGACAAATTTAGATGTTATCTCTATTTAAAAAAGAAAATCAAAAAAGTGTGTGTGTGTGTTTTCCAAATAAACATACTTGCATATACATTTCTTTTTATCACGAATAAAAGTGGTGGCACATAAAGAATTAACTAAGATGCCATTTCTTTTTCCTTTCTGCTGACACTTACTATCTTTTTAACATCAACTTTACTTCACCTTCTCTAAAATGGAAAAGTACCATTAATTTTAAAGAAAGGTGTTCAAGAAAGAAAGAAAGAAACTCAATATTTAAAGGGAAAAATTTCCCTCCTAGTTATGTTGGTATAGTATTTCATAATGTATCTTTTAATTGTTAAGTCGGGGAAACAGCATATTAGAATCAAGCAAGGAAAGTAGGGTGATGTTAATCAATACTACGAAGGAGAACACAGTTTGAAACGGATTGTTTTTTCTTCTAAAATAAGGTATCTTCATAGTATTACTACTCTTTAGAAACTTAAAAGTTACTAAAATAAATTAACTTTTCTAATAAAGTTGTTTCATATGCATAAACAATACAATCAAACCCTGTTAATATACTTATGAAATTTAATTATCCGTCCTCTGTGATGAAACTTATTGGTCTGTAGAAAGAACTAAAATTTTAAGATAAGATGGATGTGTAGGAGGGGTGGGTGATTATACCAGTTTAGTAACATAAGCGATGAACAGAAGCTATATTACAGACAGTAAGAATACTCTGTATCTGTAACTATATTTTGGTCTGCACTAGTTTCACTCGAATCCAAAAACAATCTAATGTTGGATTAGAGTTTCTTTTTTATAATCTACAAAACAATCACGTGCAAACCATCCATGGTTACTCACTTTTCTTGCTGTATTCACAAATCACTTCTCCATTGAAACTTCAGGTTTGATATCATTGTCGAACATGATCCGTGGCTTGCCCATGCTGAAATTCAGAACCCTTGCATTCATGTTGTACTTGATTAGGCCATCGTATAACATCTTTCTTATGTAGTGCTCTATGTCCGAACCAATCAGACGAAGGGTGTAATCGTTCAATGGAGCACCCTGTTTTGGATAATCACACCTTAGTATTTCAACACACACAACGACCTAAAGCACATATCTAAAATCTCACATCCTCTTTCCTTCCATATTTTGTTAATTAGACTCTCATAAACTGTGACACCAACCTAAGACAAACAGATCGAAGATAAATGAATTGTGTTTAAGGAAAGTACCTCGTAGTGATCAACAAGTTCCTGGAAGTAAGAATAGACCATGTTGCAGGTTTCAGGGTTCCACAGAAACTCATCAGTAGGATCAAGAATAAGGGTGAGCTTATCCATCTGGGTTTGATCAAACTCGAAAGTTACAGGGTCGATATAGGCTGCGAAGATCCTGACATGGCGTGTGGTGCAGCTCAACCACTGCCCTCCATATTCCCTTATCATATTTTTGCTCTTCACATTCACCTGAGGTTCCACTGGCCTTGGTATCGTTCCTTTTGGCTTCGGTTTCTCACTTTTCACTTGTTCCTGCTCTTTCTCCTTCACGTCCTCTGCTTCCTGAACATCGCTCTGTTGTTGGGCTGATACTAAAACTGTTCTCCGGTTTCTGACTTCTCTTCTTCCTCCACTCCAACCCAACATGGACAATTTGGTGGAAACCATGTAGGAGCAACTCGTGGCCATGATTTAAGGATGTGTTGTGCGTTGCTAAGGTTTAATTTCGTGGTGATTGCCTTTATATTAGTTTCCCAGTAGCTTTGGACCTTCTGCTATGGATAAGATTTCTCCTACATAACTCAAGGAGGGAACTTTTTGTGGTCTGCGAATGGATATGGCACTTCCAATTTTACCCATGCACAATCTTTGTTGTATAAATACTTTTAAGTCATATGATCTCAAACAAAGATACAGAAAAGATTATGATTTTTTATTTTTAAATTCTTTCACCACATTTCACTACAAAATATTAAATTTATTAATGTACGATATTATTATCTCTGCTATATATTTAAAACATGTTAACAATAATGCCTAAACATCATGTATTCGACGGGTTGAAAATGGAAAACAATATTGAATTTCTTTTTAAGAAAATAGATAGATCTAAAGAACAAAGTAACATAATTTGTAAACAGGGAAAATCCAACTCTTAAATATAATATCTATTTTTTTATTTAAAATAAAAATATGAGCAGAAATATCGTTTTGATCTTTTAAACTTTGGTCAAGTTTGTTAGTGATATTTTAAATTTAAAAGGAAGTAATTTGAAAGTAATCCACGATTTATCCTTAATTTGTGGTAGTTTTAGTCGTCAATAAGAATCAAAAGTGGACAATTTCCAAAATGAAAGATAAAAATTTGATTTAAAATTAAAGGGAACAAAAAATATACTTAAACTTAAAATTTTCAATAACTAGATAAATCAGTATTTAAAAAGTATGCATTTTGTAAATGTTTCTTCACTTTCACATTGCATCTTAATTGAGTTAGAATTCGTGATTGACTAACAAAGCATGAAATACTAACACGGTTTAGTTTATAAATTTAGGGAGGAAGTTGCTGTAGCCTAATTTGGATTGGATGCAGAGCAATGATCCTTACGCTCTAAAATACAACTTGTTCATCTCTTTACCAATATATATTACAAAACTTGATCAAATTGAGATCGTGGAAAAAACCAGAGAAAATAGAGTGACAAGGTGGAACTGGCCTAGTTTCCTCGTTATTAAGTATAGGAGGAGGGCACACCCAAACAACCTCTCATCCTAAATCCATTCAAAACCCAAAGAAGACTTAATCTCCAAAAAGATCAAGTCATGAAAAAATAAAAATCATAGAGCTTCTTCTAGCATTTTGCTAGTGATTTGCTCAGTCAAAGCTTGATGCACGGCTGCAACGGCCTCTCAAGTAGTCCTCCAATGTCAAACCCTGCTCAACACTGCACATGGAGAGTGACTCCTCCACCACATCACGCAGTGCAAGATCTATATGTGACTGCAGATTATCACTAGGTGGACACGCTTCATCATCAACCGTTTCTGCTGCATCCAAACCATTGTTAACTTCTAACCTTGCCCACTTCATTGTTTCAATGTCACCTTGAAGGAGCTTTAAGATCTGTGGTCCAATATAATCAATGCATCACATTTTCAACTAAGGACTAATTCTCTGAATATTTCTACGGCAATCAAACAAGAAGATAAAGTTGTGGCGTGCACTATCAAGATATGTACCACAGGATTTAGGATAAGCAAAAGGCAAACATTCAGGTCATTGTCCAGGAAATTACACTCCATATGCAACGAATGAGTCTATTAGTATTATATATGATATGACATAGATTCCACAATATGCAGTAAAGTCAAAAGTGGACCACTTACAAGGTTCATTTGAGGCCTAGCCCTTGGAGCACGTTTGATACACAGTGTGGCTGCCAACACCATCTTTTCCATCTCCTCATGATCATAGTTATCACCCAAACTAGGATCTAACAATTGTAACACCTTTCCACTATTTAGAATTGGACCTGCCTGCGAAAGTGCGTTTCTGTTATATTTTTTCACAACACATATGATTAGGAAATAGAAGTATTTGAGGTGATGCCATAGCATAGGCCTACAGAAACATACCCACATGACAAGACTCTCTTGGCCTTTAGGATAATCACGGTTTATGGGCCTTCTCCCCGAAAGAAGTTCGAGGAGCACCACCCCATATGCATAAACATCAATCTTATCATTTACTTTGCCGTACATGAAGTATTCAGGAGCCAAGTAACTGCATGATAAGTACAATACATAAAAATAATTTAGGACCATTTCAAATGTATTTTCTCTCTCTCTGGCATGGTTATGCAGGGTTTAAATGTACAAACCCAAAGGTTCCAGCAACATCTGTGCAGGTTATTTGTGATGACGAGGTTGATGCCCATTTTGCCAGTCCAAAATCAGAGAGCTGAAGAAAATCAAGCAGATCATGAGGCTCAATAATACAGAATATGTTGAACTAAAAAGTGATCAAAAGATAAATACCTGGGGTTCAAAATCCTCGGATAATAACACATTCGATGACTTTACATCCCGATGGATCACGGGTTGATCGTCTTTAGAATGCAGATAATCTAAAGCCTCAGCAATACCCACAGCTACCTTATATCTCTCCGACCAACCAAACGCAAGTGATTTTTTCTTATTACCTATTTTGGCAAGGAATAGAAGGAAGTCAATAACAAGCCACATAGAAAAACAAAAGGGGATACATATATATATATATATATATATATAGAAAATGTATATTTGCGTACCATGAAGATTCTCTTCAAGACTTCCCCTTGATAAGAGATCATAAACCAGAAGAAATTTGCCATTCTCAAAGCAGAATCCCAGGAGGGAAATTATGTTTTTGTGATGCAAGGTAGTGATGATTTCGATTTCCAGAATAAATTCCTTCAATACATCTTCGGAAGGCTTTAGAATCTTGACAGCAAGTTCCTTGCCATCAGAAAGGCAGCCTCTAAAAACCTGACTGCTTCCTCCTTTCCCAATAAAGTTTTCTGAAATCACATTAGTGACCACATTAAAGAAAAACCACCCAGTTTGTTACATTGAACTAAGTCAAACTAACTAGGATACAAACCCGGTAAGAAATTTGATGTGGCAGATACAAGATCTTGGTACCCAAACAATCTACAAGTTGAGGAGTACTTCTCGTGAAGGCCCTCCAATTCTTTAGGAATGTTTCTTGAATTGCTTTCTGGCGAAGAAGCAGTTCCGATTTCAGAATCTATTGGAACAAGAGCACCACTTTCCCTATCTAAAGCCGCAGGTTGATCCAGGCTTTGATCACAACTTTCAGGTTTTTCATCACGATCTGAAGCATATGAAATATTTCTAGAAGGTAACCTCATTGCCCACTGGACCACGGAAATCTTGGGGTGCATCAATGATCTATCAGTAGATTGTGTGTCCGATATAATTCTCCGATGTAGTAGTGGCCAACCAGGTTTCAATTCCGTTTCTGCAGCAACAGTAGGTTGCACTTGCACTGGTACTATAGCCAAGGAATTCTCTTTACCATCATCACCAGAAAACCCTTCTTCAGATTGGTTGCAAGAAGGGTCTGGCAATGCCAAGGTTGTGCCACAAATTGAACAGTTCGGTTTTCTAACAGTTTCTGTAGAATCTAGGAAAAACTTAGCTAAACTGTGATCTGAACTTTGGCCAGGTTTCTTCTCATCAGCATCCGTCCCTGAATTGTCATCACTTAGAACTTTTGTATTCTTACTGAGTGTCCAATGAATCGAACCGATCAAACCATTTCTGTGCTGACGATCAATCCCTGCAAAACAAACTCAAGCCTGAGAATTCTGCCGTGCCCGTGAGAATGCCAACAATCAAAACTAAGAACAATCTGACACCTTGTAAGTCAACACTCGGTGGCGAGCTCTCACGCTTGAACACAACTTTCCCATTGTTAACAGCGAGAATACAGCAATCCTTGGACAACTTTTTAGCACAGTATTTAGCTATAAAAGTAGATGACCGGATTCTATGCAAACCATGAGTTGTTCCGACCACAACATGAGTTGCCGTGTAACCATTTGCTTCTCGAACCAAAATTTTCTTCACTGATGAACCACGGCAAATTTTGAGTTTGAGGTCGACCTAACAAAAAAACAAAAAGCATAAAATTTAGTATGTTTTGTTCAGGGACTTCAAACAAGAATCACTTCTACAAACTTCAAAATTACGCTTTTGTTTATAGAAATTAAAAAGGGTCTACACAGAGAACGAAGATTCAGAAATTGAACCTGTTTCAAGTTACAGAATCCTTCATAAACGGCAAGAACAGAGTCAAACGCCTTGACAAGCGAAAGCAGCGAAGATTTCCCGTCTCCATTCACAGTTTCTACGCAACCTCATTTCACCAGTCAATATTCACGTTAAAAAAACAAAAACTTAAAGAAAAAAAAGAAAAAGGAACTGAAATTCCCCAGGTACCCTGGTTCCCAAGAACATGCAGAGCAACCACGGTGTCACCAGGGTGAGCCACTTTAACCAAAGCCCACGTGAGCAATTCCTTGCTGGGGGAGTCCATCTTCACCCCCACTACCACCATGCGGCCACCGGAGCCTCCGTGGGAGGGTTCTCCGGTAGGAGCCGTTTGAGGCATTTTTGACGTTGATCACGATCAGAGTGACGCCGTTTTGTTGGTGGCTGAGTGTTGTCTCAGACAGAGACCGTGGGTGAGTAATACTACTAGGAATTAAGTGAGCTTGTCGTTCTTCTTTTGTGCTGTGTTCTGTTATATGATTTTGGTTTGGTTTGGAACTACTAAGGTTTGTTCGGCTTAACTGTCGTTGGTTCAGTTCGCTTTTGAAGCTCCCACGCCAAACTCTGAAGCTTCTAACTTCTGTTAAAACTATTATTATTATTATTATTATTATTTATATTCATATTTATATTTATATTTATCTAGGTGACTTTCTAAACAAGATGCTACTAACCAAGTTTAAAGCCCTTCGGTTTTGACCACTGACTGGACCCAATTTTCTTCTTTAACCTAAACTTTACTTCTTTTTTTAACAATAAATATTCTTATCTATTCTTATAGATTTATGTATTTTTAAAAAAGTGTCTTATCTTATCAAAATACAGGAAAAAATTTTAAAATGTTAACACTGAATAAAATATGTAAAATACTTGTTCTAAAGTCACTATCATTTAATAATGTCTGCACATAAATTAAACGGTTTTTAATTATTTTTTTAATACTTATTTTTTTCTTTTAACCTCATAAATACTTTACCATATCACTTTCAATATCTTTAATTCTAACTTGAATTTCAATACTGTCCAAGAAAAGCTAGCAGCAATAAAAAATATCATATTATTACATTCATAATTTATCATCAATATAAAATACAGTTTCTGTTAAAATATTTATTAATCATCATTAATGCTTTATAATATAAATTGTATATTATTTGTATACTTATTTATTTTGAATTTAATTAATTATTTAAAAATACTAAAAAATCTGTAAGGCGAAATTAGTGAAACATTATTTTAGATATTCAGATTATAGGTCAATTAGTTGCGTTGAAATCGAATCTCTCTTGAATTAGAATTAGGTTTTTAAAAGTTTTGAAATGAACGAAGGATTTTCTGAAATGAAATATGGATAAGAAATTTGATTGATGGTGGGATACCTAATGTAGGACAATTATTTTTATTATTATTATTATTATTTTATGATAGAATAGAATATTCCGTGTATGAATAAGAAATTACAAATTGCTGGTCTTTTATTTGGTGAAGGAATAGGAATGAGTTTTGTTACGTCATTCTCATTTGAATAACATCACGCTTTAATTTGCTTCGTTTTCAATCATTGTGTTAACATCCATATACGAATTTTTCACGCTTTAAAGTTGCTTCAGAGCCTTTTATTCAGTGTCTTTTTAAGTTTTTATTAGGTCATTTTTCACGTTCTCATATTTCATTATTCAACAACCATTCACACTGTTTTATCTTCCTTCACTTCATCAAATCTCATTGCAGCTATCACAAACGTTAAAACCATGTCCAAATATCTATAAAATATTGTTTTTCTTTTCTAAATTGTATATTCATGTATGAACTGAATTAAAATTAATATTCATATCAATATTTTTCAGAACATCAAAATTCCATTCCCACTTTTTTATTTTAATATAATTTTAATTATTGAAAAAATGAAGAGTTTTAAATGCATTTTCTATTTTACTTATGTTAAAAACATTCCTTTCAAGAGACGTGTACTGGTTGGTTTGAATAGTAGACAGCAAACCGTTAGCTAACGAATTTTTATAAACACTTAATTTCAAATATAATTAAGGATCACGATTTAATTTAAAAGCTTATTGAACTTATGCTTGTTAAGTAAGCACTTACCAAAATAAGTTAAATTAATTGTTTGTTATATGATGTAAGTTGTTATCATACGCTATCTTAGAAAATTTATTCAAATATACAAATGTTAATTATGTCAAAAGATATATCTTAAAAAATGTAAGTAGAGTCTTCTGAACAAAGTTATAATATGACATTTGAAATATAATTGAAACTCAGTAACAAAAAGTTATTGTATCATAAGATGGAGAAATATGTATATGTGAAGAAAATAGTAATATCCCATTTTTAACCGTAAATATGGAATTATTGTATGAAAATGCACTTATAAAAAACAATATCTATATCGGTAGAATTATTTGATTTTTCAACTATTTCACTCTCATCTCTCGCTGGAGCAACCGTAAAGAATGTCTCTCTAAATTCACACCATTAAGGTAATCATCGCAAAAGAGAAAACACACATAAAGACAGACAGCACAAAAAATTAAGGGTAAGCTAGTGGTAGAATAGTTCATCATAATTTAATAAATATTTCATTATACATTATATTACACACATAATAAACATATATCATAATCACATCACAACATTTGACTTGACTCATCCGGATAGTATAAATGTTGAACTATGGTGGTTCCTGCACTTGTGGTGGTTTCTATTGCTTTGCATAACCCTTGCTAATGGGTTTCACCCTACCACTCATAAGATTAGTCCTCAAACGCTCTTTTGCCAACTGAAGAAAGGCTCCTCAAGCTAAGGTCTCCTGCTACTACTCTCTATGACATAACCATCCATCTCGACTTAAGTTGGGCTTATTGAGTGTCAATATAACCCAACAATACAAAGCTCCATACATTCATACAAAAACAACACATGGCACTACCATGTATCCTCTCCACGAGAATCATGGAATTACATCCATCAATCATTTACTTAATCAACCACATATTCATCATCAACCTATCCCTCTCATAATCATATATATATATATATATA